CTGGAGGGAACCCGGCAGTCTCAGCTGGAGGAGCCATGGAGGGAAGATGATGGAGGAGGAGGAGGAGGCAGGACATGACCTCATTAACCATTAAACCCATAAGAATGCATCGTTATTCCTTCAAGTTTTGCATCCAGGACTTCTTTTTTCCCTTTATTTCCCCTTTTTTCCCTCATTTGTACCAGTCAGGAGGAGCTGTGGTGGGGGGAACAGAGCCAGCATCCCCATGGAACCCCCCCCATCCATTGGGACAGCTTCACTGCGCTTGTTGCCTATGGGAGAAGCAGCTTTGGAGCAGCAGCAGCTTCGGATCAGATTTGGGGTCTTTGGGAAGCAGCATTCGGGGTTAAACCCATGGGAAGGACTTCCATGGCCTCACTTCCCACTTCTCCCTTTGGGTCCTGATGCAGGAGATCCATGGGGATGCTCTGAGATGGGAAAACACGCTTGGACAGCCCAGAATTCCCAGGTTTAGGGGGCTCCTTCAATAGTAAAACTGGACCTGCCTTGGAGATGCCCCCAAACCTCCTCCATCATGAAGGCAAAGGGGTCACTTCTCCATCGGACCAGCCCGTTTCCTCCTCCCAGTGAGGCCGAGATGGGGGGAACTGGGAATAAGCTGGGAAATTCAGCAGCTCCAAAGGGGGAACAAGGAAAAGCAAAGGGAGTCGGAAGGGGGGGAGGTTCTTGTCCTGCCAAAATCCCAACCCTCATCCAAATGTGCCAATGGGAAGCTGAGCTCTGAGCATCCCTGGAGGATCGGATCCCGCATTCCAGGAAATGGGAAGGACCCCGGCCCATGGGGACCGAGGAGGAACCAAACTCACCCGAAGCTTTCCATAAAAGCCTTTATTTTAAATAGGTCCCTGCGCAATCCTGGGTGCACGCAGGATGCGGCCCCCCCATAGGGACAGGGTGGGGGGGGGGGGTCCCCCAGGCTGGGGGTCAGTCCATGGTGATTGTGGTCATGTGACATCAAACCGCAGCGGGGGGATGCAGGAGCCCCTTGGGGGGGGAGTCGGGGGGGGGGGGGGGTGAGCCCCAAGGCAGCTCCTGGGTGATGGGGGGGGGGGGCTCAGGGCGTCCCCCTGCTCCTGTCACAGCAGTGTCATGGGTGGGTGTCACACTGGGGCTGTGCCATGGAGCATCCCAAAAGGTGATGTCATCGCAGAGCATCCTGCCAAGGTGATGCCACCATAGAGCATCCTGCCATGGTGATGCCACCATAGAGCACCCTGCCATGGTGATGCCACTGCAGGGTACCCCACCAAGGTGATGCCATCATAGAGCATCCCAAAAGGTGATGCCACCATAGAGCATCCTGCCAAGGTGATGCCACCATAGAGCATCCTGCCATGGTGATGCCACTGCAGGGTACCCCACCAAGGTGATGCCACCATAGAGCATCCTGCCATGGTGATGCCACTGTAGGGTACCTCACCAAGGTGATGCCACCATAGAGCATCCTGCCATGGTGATGCCACCAAAGGGTACCCTGCTATGGCAATGTCACTGCAGGGTACCCCACCATGGTGATGCCACCACAAAGCATCCTGCCATGGTGATGCCACCAAAGGGTACCCTGCTATGGCAATGCCACTGCAGGGTACCCCACCGTGGTGATGCCACCACAGAGCATCCTGCCCTGGCGATGCCACCACAGCTCCAAGCCCACCATCAGCCCTATAGAGCTCGTTCCCCTCACAACATCCCCAATCCTGAGAGCAGCCCCAGCATCGCACACCCAAGGCTGAATCCTGCCGCAGGGCTCTGCAGGGTGATGGGAGCAAGGGGACGGGGTTGTGCTGTCTGCAGTGACTGCACTGAGCACGCAGCATCCCCAGGGCTTTGCTATGGTGGGGCGGCACCAAACCAGGATGCTTTAGCTCAGGACAAGCCAGGGGACGTCACTGGGACACCCCCAGCACCATTGGTGTGTGTGTGCCCCCCTCTCGCTCAGAGGACAAGCATCCCATGGGAGCAGTGCAGGGAGACCTGGACCAGCCACTGGGATGCTCCAAGCTATCAGCACCAAAGCCCTTTTGCTGGTGCCCCAAAAGCGAGGCATTGAATGACCACGGGGGTGTCAGCAGCCCCCCTGGAGCACAGCCCAGACCGCAGCATCACCTTCGGGACCCGCAATGGGCGATACCTGGAGAGGTATCCATGGGGATGAGGGATGCAGGATGGGGCAGCACCGGGGACACGGGACACGCAGGGACCGCCCTCCCCCCCCCCGGACGTGACCAGGTCCAGCATCAGCACTGGGGTGAGGAGGTTCAGGGTGTCCCCCACGGCTGTGTTGGTGTGGATGGGGCGTGCACAGTCACACACACGTGTGCACACTCATACATGTATGCACTGTCACATACATGTGTACACTCACATGTGTGCACACTCATACATGTATGCACTGTCACATACATGTGCATCCATGTGCACACACACACGTGTGCATAGTCACATACATGTATGCACAGTCACATACATGTGCATCCATGTGCACGCACACACGTGTGCATAGTCGCATACATGTATATGCACTCGCACGTGTGCACGCTCATACATGTATGCACATGAGCATACACGTGCACACTCACACACATGAATGCACACTCACATACATGTGCACACTCACGTATGAATTCACACGTACACACTCACAGACATGTATGCACACTCACACGTATGCACACTCACATACATGTATGAATTCACACATGTACACATACACATGTATGCACACTCACACGTATGCACACTCACACATGTGCACACACACACGTATGCACACACACGTATGCACACTCACACACACATGTACACACACACGTATGCACACTCACACACACATGTGCACACACACACGTATGCCCTCACACATATGCACACTCACACACACGTATGCACACTCACACACATGTATGTACACACTCACACGTATGCACACTCACACACATGTGCACTCACACACGTGCACACACACATGTATGCACTCACACTCACATGTGCGCACTCACACATATACGTGCACTCACACATGTGCACACACACATATGCACTCACACACGTATGCACTCACACACACATGTATGCACACACACACGTGTATGCCCTCAGTCACATGTGTGCGCACTCACACACATGTATGTGCACTCGCACTCACACACATATACGTGCACTCACACATGTGCACACACACACATGTATGCACTCACACACACATGTATGCACACACACACGTATGCACTCACACACACATGCATGCACTCACACACACATTTATGCACTCACACACATGTGTATGCATACACACATGTATGCCCTCTCACACACACACATGTATGCACTCACACACACATGTATGCACACACACTCACACACACATGTATGCACACACACGTATGCACCCACACACATGTATGCACCCACACTCACACACACATGTGAACTCACACTCACATGTATGCACACACACACACATGTATGCCCTCACTCACACATGTATGCACACACACACACGTGTATGCCCTCACTCACACATGTATGCACTCACACACACATGTATGCACCCACACACACTCTCACACACACGTGTATGCCCTCACTCACACACACATGTATGCACACACACACACGTATGCACCCACTCACCGTGCTCGCACTCACACACATGTATGCGCACTCACACATGTGCACACTCACACACATGTATGCACTCACACACACATGTATGCACACACACACACACACACACATGTATGCACACACACACACACACATGTATGCACACACACGTGTATGCCCTCACTCACACACACACACACACATATATGCACACACACGTGTATGCCCTCACTCACACACACACACACACACACTCACACACATGTATGCACCCACACTCTCACACACACATGTGTATGCCCTCACTCACACGTGCTCGCACTCACACACATGTATGCGCACTCACACATGTGCACACTCACACACATGTATGCACACACACACACATGTATGCACACACACACACACACACACATGTATGCACACACACACACACACATGTATGCACACACACGTGTCTGCCCTCACTCACCCGTGCCCGCACTCACGCTCCCCCCTGCCGGATGCTCCGCGGTTCCCCCCATCCCCGTTACGAATCCACCGCCGCGGGGCGCAGGGCGCGGGTCAGGGGGTGCCGGGGGCTGCGGGGCTCAGGGGCTCGGCTCCCCCCCCCCGGCCCTGCCATTGTCCCTCCTCTCCAGGCGCGTGTAAGGCTCGAACGCGGACGTGCCCAGTCCGTAAGCGCCGGGGAGCTCGGGGGGGCCGCCCCGCAGCGCAGCCCCGAAGCAGAGCGCGGAGCCCGGCAGCCGGGGCGAGGGCGAGGACGAGGACGAGGAGGAGGAGGCGGCGAGAGCCGGGAGTTGGAGGCTGAAGGCTCCCGGTGCGGGGGGGCTGCTCCCACCGCTGAGCCCCGGGGACGCGGTTCCCGGTGCGGGCAGCCCGGCTCCGTTACCGGTAGGGCTGGCGATGGGGTGGGAGGTGGGAGAGAGGAGGCTGGGGGGGGCCGGCAGGGGCAGGAGCCGGCCCTGCTCCAACAGGCGCAGGATGTTGCAGGTAGCGAAGGACTCGGAGGTGGTTGCGGGGCGTTTCTCTGAGTCCCGGCTCTGGTCTTTCTTCTGCTTGGTGCGGCGGTTCTGGAACCAGACCTTCACCTGCGGACGGGGGGGAACGGGATGGGAGGGATTGGGGCGGAGCGGGGGAACGGGACATAGAGAGGAACGGATGGAAAGAGAGCGCGGGGGGGCCGGGAGAGAGGCGAGAACCGGGAGAGAGTGAGAGATAGGAGAGAAAGATGTGTTAAAACAAACAGCCCGGCGAGATCCAACCCCCCCGATGCGGGGACTGCTGCCTCCAGGGAATGGGTAAACTGGGATGGGAGCCCAGGGATACGGGAGGCTGGGGATGGGAACCCAGGGATAGGAGCACAAGGTAGGACCCAAGGGATGGGAGCTCAGGGGTCAGCCCCTGCGGATGGGAAGGCCAGGGATGGGAGCTTGGGGATGGAACCCTGGGAATGGGAGACTGGGGATGGGGCCCTGGGCACAGGACCCAGGGATGGGAGCTTGGGGATGGAACCCTGGGAATGGGAGCTTGGGGATGGAGCCCTGGGCACAGGACCCAGGAATGGGAGCTTGGAGATGGGAACCTGGGAAAAGGAGCCCAGGGATGGGAGCTTGAGGATGGAACCCTGGGAATGGGAGCTTGAGGATGGAACCCTGGGAATGGGAGATTGGGGATGGGGCCCTGAGCACAGGACCCAGGGATGGGAGCTTGGGGATGGAGCTCTGGGAATGGGAAACTGGGGATGGGGCCCTGGGCACAGGACCCAGGGATGGGAGCTTGAGGATGGAACCCTGGGAATGGGAGCTTGGAGATAGGAGCCTGGGAAAGGGAGCCCAGGGATGGGACCTTGGGGATGGAACCCTGGGAATGGGAGCTTGCGGATGGGCCTCTGGGCACAGGACCCAGGGATGGGAGCTTGAGGATGGAACCCTGGGAATGGGAGCTTGAGGATGGAACCCTGGGAATGGGAGCTTGAGGATGGAACCCTGGGAATGGGAGCTTGAGGATGGAACCCTGGGAATGGGAGCTTGAGGATGGAACCCTGGGAATGGGAGCTTGAGGATGGAACCCTGGGAATGGGAGCTTGGGGATGGGGCTCTGGGCACAGGACCCAGGGATGGGAGCTTGGAAATGGGAGCCTCGGGATGAAAAACCAGGGACAGGACCTGGCAATGGGAGCCTGGGGACAGGAGCCCAGGGATGCAAGCCTGGGGATAGCAGCCTGGGGATGGGAGTCCAGGGATGGGACCCTGGGTGTGGAAACCCAGGGGTGGCAGCCCTGGAATGGGACCACTGGGGATGGATGGGATCCCAGAGGCAGGAGCCTGGGGCTGGGACACTGCCCTGTGCCAGCTCTCGCAGGGATGCTGAGCTATGGGATGCGCTGCATTCTCTGCTACACTGCCCTGTGCCAGCTCTCCCAGGGATGCTGAGCTATGGGATGCGCTGCATTCTCTGCTACACTGCCCTGTGCCAGCTCTCGCAGGGATGCTGAGCTATGGGATGCGCTGCATTCTCTGCTACACTGCCCTGTGCCAGCTCTCGCAGGGATGCTGAGCTATGGGATGCGCTGCATTCTCTGCTACACTGCCCTGTGCCAGCTCTCGCAGGGATGCTGAGCTATGGGATGCGCTGCATTCTCTGCTACACTGCCCTGTGCCAGCTCTCGCAGGGATGCTGAGCTATGGGATGCGCTGCATTCTCTGCTACACTGCCCTGTGCCAGCTCTCGCAGGGATGCTGAGCTATGGGATGCGCTGCATTCTCTGCTACACTGCCCTGTGCCAGCTCTCACAGGGATGCTGAGCTATGGGATGCGCTGCATTCTCTGCTACACTGCCCTGTGCCAGCTCTCGCAGGGATGCTGAGCTATGGGATGCGCTGCATTCTCTGCTACACTGCCCTGTGCCAGCTCTCGCAGGGATGCTGAGCTATGGGATGCGCTGCATTCTCTGCTACACTGCCCTGTGCCAGCTCTCGCAGGGATGCTGAGCTATGGGATGCGCTGCATTCTCTGCTACACTGCCCTGTGCCAGCTCTCGCAGGGATGCTGAGCTATGGGATGCGCTGCATTCTCTGCTGTGGTCATCACCAACCCCAACCCTGTGTCTCCATCTGCAAACCCTTCCCTCACCAGGTCAAGACATGGGGCAGAGAGCCCCTGACCTTACTAGGATGCAGAGGAACGCGTTAGGGGACAGAGTGGCTCCTACTGGCCTGATGCAGGGCACAGACCCACTTCTGCACCCCAATCCAGATGAGGACATCCCCAACCTGCCTCTGGCTGCAGCAAGGAGCCCATAGGCCGCCCCCCCTGACCCACACGGATGGGGCATGGACCCGGTCCTCAACCCATGGCTCCCATCCCACTGCAACTGCCCCCCTGCAGAGCGTTGGGGTAGGAAAGGCAGAGACAGAGAGAGAGAAGCGTGAGGGACAGACGGATGGAGATGGAGGTGAGGGGAGGACACGGGTGGGAAGAGACTGGGGTTAGAGCCCGGCGGATGGTGGGAGGCAATGGCACGTGTGGGGATGGCTCGGATGCTGCAGGGATAGCCCAGGGTAACCCCAGGCTTGGTTCCCTCTGGCCCGGAGCAGCAGGGCTGGAACTCATCCATCGGGAGCTCCATGGGGCAGGAAAGTCACCGGTGACAGAGCCCTTGTGCACCCCAAACCCTAGTGCAGTTAATGGAGAGAGGGCAGGTCCCAGCCCACCGGCCCCTTGCCAGGGGTATAAGAGTGTGGGGGAAGCCTAAGGAGGATGGGGATGCTCCAGGAGGAGCAGCAGAACGTGCTTCCAGGGATGGGGGACACCAGGATCATGGGAATGAGGCAAAACCTCCGGGGACCATGGGTCCTTACCAGCCCATGGCCTCCTTCTTATCCACATAGTCCCCCATGGAAGCTCCTGAGGACATTCCCATGTCCCAGGGCATGGAGACCCAATGTAGAATGAGCAGGTTTTTGGTGGGCTGTGGAATTCCAGGGACCTCCAAACCCCAAAGCACAGGACTTGCAAAGCCCCACAACCCTCCATGAGCATCTGGTGTGCACTGGTCCATAGCGAAAGGCACAGCCCCAGTGCCCTTCACCCAGAGCATCCCCAAAACCAGCTCTGGGAGAGCAAGAGCTCAACCCCCCCCATCAGCACCATTATATCCATGAGGATGGGCATGAAGTGTCCAGGAGATGCCCCATGCTGTGCAGAGCAGAGATGGCACCAGCACCACCGCTTCCCATAGCCAACACCATGGTCCATGGAGCAAGCTCAGCATCCCCCAGTGTTTCCCAGTCCCAGCCTCACATCGCTGTGGATGGATATTGAGGGATGTGTTGGAGCCCATCCTCTGGGATGAAGATTACCTCCATCTCTGAGCCCCAAACCAAGGTGCTCCAGCACCCAATGGCCATACACCCAACACAACCCAAACCAACACGGCACAACACAACCCAACCCAATCCAATCCAATCCAACCCAACCCAACCCAACACAACCCAACACAACCCAACCCAACACAACACAACACAACCCAACCCAACCCAATCCAACTCAATACAACCCAACACAACCCAACCCAACACAACACAACCCAACTCAACCCAATCCAACCCAACACAACCCAACACAACCCAACACAACCCAACTCAATACAACCAAACACAACACAACCCAGCCGAACCCAACCCAGTCCAACCCAATCCAACCCTGCTTCCTTCAGCCCAACCAGCTTCCCTCTGCCCCTGGTGTCTGAGTGCATCCCCCCCAAGTCCCCTGGGATGCTGATGGGTCTCAGGGACCCACCGATGCTGCTCAGGGGTCTCCAGAAGCATTTAGCTCAGAAAAAGACCTTTAAGATCATTGAGTCCAACCATGAACCTAACACTAAACCATGGTTCAGTGCAAAGGGAAACTGAGGCACGCACAGCCCCTGCATTGCAAAGTGCCCTCAATCACAGCTTCTAACACGAGAGGAGGCCACAGGGCAGAATCATGGAATCCCAGAGTGGTTGGGTTGGAAGGGACCCCAAAGCTCACCCAGTTCCAAGCCCTGGTGAGCAATGGGCTATCCATAGGGCCCAGAGCAGAAGAGGACCCATTGGGTTCCTCCTCATCCTCATCCCCACAGCCCACGACCCATTCTGAGCGTGCTGCTCTAAACCAGGCTTCCTCGTGCCTCATCGCCTGACGTGGGCTTTGTGGGGCCGCACCAGAGGGCAGGGTCACAGCTGCCTGCACGGCTGAAGTTCATACTCAGCTTGGCAGTAATTAGTAGGCCCATGTCCTTTTCATCCCCCATTACGATCAAGCTCCTCTCGGTGGAGATGGAAATAGGCTCAGCCAGGCGCAGCCCTGGACAAATCCATGAGTAATTCCACCCCTAACCCCCCCCCTACCCCAGCCTTGATCCTTCCTCCTGCAGCATCCTCCACGTCTCTTCCTCCTCCCAACCACAAGTTCTCTGCTTGCTTTCTGCTCGAGGGATGAAACTCATCCAGAGCGAGCCCCTGCCATGGCACCGGCTCCACGTCCTTCCTCTCCTCCTCATCATCACTGGGTGAACTGGGATGTGCAGTGCCACCCTCCCCGTTCCAGCCCTGAGGAAGGGCAGGGAGGACCGTGCTGGTGGGTACCACAGCTCAGCATCTATGGAGGAGGCAGCGCAGCCCTATGGGCAGTGCTTTGTCCTTCAGTTGATAACTGAAGGGCTGTGGGATGAAACCAGGCACCTCCAGCTCCCTGCTGGGGGTAAAGGAGAAAGTGGGAACAAGAGCATCCACACACTGGGAATGGGGAGAAAGGCCAATTCCCATGTGGATCACTCAGGGGGAGAGGCCTCCCCTTGCTCTATAAGAGCCCCAAGAAGAACCCACAGCTCCTTGTGGCTGCAAATCCCTTGCTTGGGGCTATGGGACCCAGGACCACGCGTGTCAGCCCCATCAGGTCAAGGCTGGATGCAGACAAAGAGACAAGAAGATGCATCTGGATGCGACGGAGGAGCAGGACACGGGAGGTCATGCGTTCAGCAGCGAGGAGGGAGCTCCCAGAGGACAGAGGGTAAGAGGATAGAGGAGATGACTGTGACAGCCCC